ATGATAAGGGCAGCAGGACACCAAGATCTCCCTCACTTAAATGAGGAAGTTACAAGCATTAGTATTTCCTAGTAAGGACAGGATAAGATATCATTGACCAACATTTGATTAATTTGAAAGGGTAGTGACAGACTCAATAATTAAAGCCTATTACATATATCAGTGTCATTTTAGTACATAAAGGTTAACAATTATGAATGGGGCTTTTTTGTCTTCTTAATTTAAGAGGATACTCTTTTCAAGCTGAAACAAAGCTTGGTTTTCTTTCATAAGGAGCTGCATTGGATGTTGCTCATGAACACCTGGGGCACTGTGTGTGTCCATACAGGTTCAGACACTCTTGCTTCCTGTACTTTCTGCAGAGCATCAACCTTATTGCTTTCTCCTTTCTGAAAGCCTCCTCTCAGCACTGGCTAATACCTGACCTAAGTGGAGGCAACATTCTGTACCTCCCCTCAAGTCCATCTGCAGCTTCCCTTGTCTCTCTGAATTCCACAAACAGAAGACACCTTTGAAAACCAGCCCTAAAAAGTGACTCAGAGCGCCCTCTGCTGTCTACTTTGAGTTCCTCAGCTATGTTCTATACCATGCAAGCAAAGCCCCAAGTTAGCCAGGAATTAACTGCAAACACAAACATACAGTCACGGGGCAGGAAATACGGATATGGAGTTTAAAACACAAGCTCTGACATCAAACTGCCTGTTTTCAAATACTGTTCTCTTCCGCTCCCTCGTGTTATACCCCCAGGCAACATCTCCACCTCTCTGGCTTCGGTTTCTTCATGTGTGAAATGGAATAATTGTACCCCGTGAAATTTCCTGAGGATTCAGTGAGATAATGTATGCAAAGTACTTTGCATAGTTCCTGGAAAATGCTAAGTCTTATTATATGCTAGATTTTTTTCTCCTCTTTTATGAACTGTAGCATAAGTAGCCCTATTATTGTTGAATTTCCTGTCACTTGAGCACCAATATATCAAAGAAATGATCCTGCTAATCTATATTGAAATGGTATTTCCTATGCTGTCTACAGTTTATACAGAGACAACTCCTATTGTCCCAAATCCTCATGTTAAGTTGCTTTATTCTTTCCTGGATTCTCAGCAGGTAACATTTGTGTAAACTGTCTTTGGACATGCATGTGGCCACCTTGTCAGCAGCTACAACCAAAATATACCTCTCACACTACCCAGCATCAGTTCAACAATCTCCAGCTGTGAAACTGAAAGTCACCTTAATTCTCTAAGACCTCTACGGCTACAAACTGTGCCCCTTCTCATCCAGTAGAAGTCTATGTGGCTTAGTTGCCGGGAATGTGACTTGCAATCCTGTAGCCAAGTGAAACAGAATTGTAGGACAGTCACTACACAGCACTAAGCCTTGCTTTGTGGTGACTGTTTTTAATTCAACAGGACCATCTTGCTGAGAATGAGGGAGATTTGAGGGATTAAGGGACAAGGTGACTCTAGGCTCTTCTGGGTGAGCAGCCTGGCCTGATTTGGGGCAGGAAAAAGGAATCAGGGAAGATGAAGGATTTATAAAGCATCACCACAATCCAGCAAGGTATTTCCAGGCAGCTTGCAGCTTACAGACTGTGATGCCATGGTGCCTGGCAGCCTGGCTCCAAGGCCCTTCGTTCTTTCTCCTCCTAAATCCTGATTAAATGAGGCAGCCTCTCTCCTGTCACATGGCAGCCAGCTTTGGAGTGCTTCGGGAACAAGGTCATGATTAACAGGCAAGCCTGTGCTTCTGCTGTTTCCCTCGGGGCCTTCTTTCTCCTACCCAATCTTTAATCTCAGCAATAATATTGCTTCTGAGGCCCCCGGTGGCTGCAGCTTCTGAAGGACAGCTGGCCAAAGCAGACAAGAGGGAGGGAACATGGTGGCTGGTTTCCTCTTTGATCGGCAGCTTGGAAATTTCAGCTGGAACCTTTGTGCCTGTCTCCCCACTACTTCCACTTCATTTCTTCCTCCAAGGAACTGAGTGCTTGGAAATACTGGGGAGACCCAGGGATTCAGAACTGCAAGACAGCAGGGCACCAGGCCAGTAAATGAAGGTACGTGGAGCCATGCACCTCCCTACATCACGGCTCTGTCATATGTGAAATAGGAATCAACCAGTTTATGAGAAACAATGAAGAACTTAACACACACCTTTAACCTAATAATTAAAATCTGCCTTAATTCACTCACTTAAAAATATCAAGGCACTATTATATGTATAATATTATGCTTCATAGGCATTTGGGAACCAATAATAAAAATGATGAATATTCTTTGAGAGAGACTAGATATACTTAGGAAGAAAAAGTTCTGTAACTCAAGGCAACGTATCTTGAGTGTTTAAATGAGTAACACAGACAACAGATGCTGTAAGACCAGAAATGGTGGTTTTATCATGTGTGTGTATTTGTGCCTATTTATTATACAAGCCACTGATACAACTAATATCCTGGTTTAGCACTAATCCCAATTACAGCCTGACCAGATATACATTTACATATACATATATATACATATACATACATTACATATATATATCTGCTCTCCTTACAGAATGAAGCTCCATGAGAACCAAGGGCACGTTTTAATTCCCTTGTTTTGACTCCCATGTTAATGAGTAAAACATATTTCAATCAGAATTATACCAAAAACAACCAATTTTGTGAAGATACTTGTTGAATTAAAGTCCTTTAACCCAATTTAATTCTTGATTCACTTTCTATGCAATACAGTCAAATCTTTCTTTTTCAAAATAGCATTTCATTCTTACTTTTCTCAGTTCATTTGCATTGGGATCAATTTTGTGATTGATTCATAACAGATTTTAAGCATATACATTTTTGCTGATCATACCTTTTGCCACTATGATATCTTAATGGGTTTTACTTGCTGACCTTAATGTCAAGTCAAACTTGTAGGTAACTTGTTATGAAAAAAACATGAACTCTAGGCTATTCTAGTGCAGCCTTGATCAGCTTTGCCACATGTACCCCTAGTTTACACAGCTTTTTTTGTTGTTCATACACATTTGAAAGCAGGCATAGATTTAGCTTTTGTTGTCCTTAAATCATGGTACCGCAGGATTCCTCCTTCAAAGAGTACAGTGGAAGGCCTGGGGTTGACTTGAGGCAACAGCAGAGTGAGGGTGCATGTGGATGGAGACAGAGGCAGGACTGCAGGCCTTGGCAGTGAATGTTAGCGTGATTCCCGCAAAGGCCGGCTGACACCAGCGCTGCCATGACAGCAGATCCTAGCTCAGGGTCACTTTCCACTCCTCCCCCTCCCCACAACCAAAACCAAGGAGGACCAGAATGGGCGTCACCTCAGCTTCCCACCACAGGAAGTGTCCCAGGCTTTCTCTCACAGCAGCTATTCCTAAAGTGTACTACCTAGACTAGCAACAGTATCTGAGACTTTATTAGCAATGCAAATTCTTAAACCCTTGCCCAGATGTACAGAATCAAGCAGTCTGGACTGGAGCCCAGAAGCATGTATTTAGCAAACTTTCCAGATGACTGATGCATGCTAAAATTTAAGAACCACAGATTCATGTGCAGCTAACATGCTGGATGAGAAATGGAACAGGAAGAACATATCCAGAAAGATCAAACTGTACGTCAAAGAAATGAAAGACTAAAACACTCTTCAGATAAGAGCAAGTCTCTCCTGATTCTTGTTCTGAGGTTCTCAATATACCTGAAGTCCTTAAGAAATTTTAATTCACTTGCAAAGCTATGAATTTGCCTACCTGGTAAATCTTTATCTCTCCACTGTCATTTCCCAGTAACATTTATTATGATTTGGATAAAAATTTGTTCTTGTGTGTGTGGGAGGCCATCCTCAACAAAACTGTCAACAATTGCCCAGGATTGGTCTTCAGGAAGACTCTGGTCACTCTGTAATGAAGCCACAGGGAAATAAGTAGATAAAAGGTCCTTGGGCTCAGCATGGTGGACTAAAAGCACTCTGTGTTGGAAAAAGGAACTTTGTCACTTCCTTGTGACATCTTTCATAGTGCCCTGTCCTTTGTAGAGGTGATGAATAATCAGAGAACATATATGAATTTAAATAGGTTGGTAATACTTTATGTAAAGGTGACACAAGTTGGATCTTGACAAACAGGCAGAGAAGGGTGGATAAAGAAACAGTGAGAGCACTGTAAGCAGTAGAAAAGAGAGAACTGTGGACTGAACCAAAGTTTGGAGTCAGGTCTCACGCAGTGTTTGGTATTGAATAGCTCAGTCCTATACTGCTCTAACTTGGATGGTTTGTCAGCCACAGGAATTTACTGTTCACAGTTCTGGAGCTGTCAAATCCAACAATAAAGTGACAGCAGATTTGATCCAATCAGAGCCCACCTTCTGGTGTTTTTTTTTTGGTCCTTTTCGTTACTGGGGATCAAACTCACGACTGCCTGCTTGCAAGGCAGGCGCTTATGCCGCTGAGCTAAATCCCCAGCCCCCGAGCCCATCTTCTGGTTCACCACCATCATGCTCCCTCTGAAGTTTCAAGAGCTGCCCTGGACACAGCAGATTCAGAAACTTCTTCCTGCTCTAATATTTCTAATTCTGTGGACAGTTCTTGTTTCAGAATAACAACAAAGTGAGTGGGCTCCACACAAGCAGAACTGGAGAGTCTGCAGCACTCTTAACATGTGCTGCAGGCTCAACACCCCTCTGGGTCTTCATCTATGCACCGGGGACACTTACGTATGATTCATGAGATGCTGAGTAACAGGAAGCTTTGACTTGCTCTCCTGACACAAGTTTTTGTTGTTTTTAAATAAGAAACCCAAAGAGAAGATAAATTAACACATGAGATGAACCATAGGACCAAATATTTATGACCCATTCAGAGAACTAAGCATCATGTGGTTTTATTTTTGAAAAGCATGTGATATACCCATGACCAAAGCAATCATCATTAAAATGTGGCTTATTGGTTCTGAAAGCTAAATATTGGCTTTGTTTGTGTGGTAGAAAAATACCACCTCAAGAAGTTTACTCACGTACCCCTTTTATTTCTTATTTTTGAGAAAATTTGACTGTGGTAAACCTACAATGAAGATTTCAACACGTATAGGCACTATTACTTGCAGGTGGAAAACTGGAGGCTCATGTGTCCTGTTCAGGGTCAGGGGATTAAATGAAGGCAGAGCAAGGAGAAAATCCTTGGCTGATTCCCAGTATGGTAGGAATACGGTTTCAGAGTTCCTAAAATCAGAGAGTATTATTACTCTCTTGGCAAACGCAAGACCACACTTCTGGTGTACCTCACTCCTGAGGGTGCTTCTTGGACCCTATTCAGGTGCTATCAGCTGCACTGAAGACTCATATCACACTCCTTCCCCAACAGTGACACAGCAGGATGAGTGCCTTTGGGGGAGCTGAGCTTCCTTTGCTTCATTCAGATCTTCACAGCAGCACAACGAAGAAACTTCACTGATCAGCATGTCACCACTCAATGAACTTGGGACATGCAGAAACCAACTGTTAGCATGACATCCACTGAAGGAAACAAGACGCCTAATTTCTTAGAAAAGTCAATAGTTCACTTGAAGCAGGCCCCACAGACCCAGAGGAAGGTTACTCGGCCAACAGGGAATGGCTGAGGGGCTGCAAGGTCTGCTGGTTAACTCTCCTCATGTTTAGCAGAGGTGTCTGAGACTTACTGTCCCTGGGGATGTGGCAGAGAAGAGCATCCAGAGTGTAAGAAGTCACCCAGCCATGCACGTGCAGTTTCTCATAGATCTCATCAAATTTGGCCTCAAGGGTGGGCACGTCTTTCACTTTTTCCCTCACTTTGGCCAGCTGGAAAAAAGTAAGAGTGAATCACTATAGCTATGCAAAATATCTCCCTTGTTCTTTCTATTCTCTAAGCATAGTTAGACATGTGAAAAATAAATAGCATATACTTGAAATGATAAAAATGAGGGTACTATGAGACAGTCCACACGCTATACAAAAGAATTCAGAATTAGTATTTGGAAAACCATACCCAATATCTTAAGACAGGGAGTTCAAACGGTAAGCTACTGTGCAGCCTACTGGAAAGAAGGCCAAATACTAATTAAAGTGACTTTGTTCATGTAATGATTAGGGTAGCAGCTGGAGCTAAATTACATAGGATTTTATATACAGCCTGTGACAACGTCTTGGAACTTATAAAAGTTTGTCAAGGCATCTACAATGGGACATAATCTGATTTAGGGTTAAAAGCTTTATAGTGAATGAACTGGAGGGTACAGGAAGGCACATACCATTTCACAGACCCCACTGTACCCGAGAAAAGAAAGGATGGTAGTTTAGACTGAGAAGTATACAGAAATGATGAAGAAACTGGTTTATGTGCAAGGTATATTGAAGTTTAAACCATCAGGATTTAATGTCCCCACTTTGGGCTGTAGCAACATGATGGGTACCATCATTTATTGAGGCAGGAAATGCAGAGAAGATCAAATTTGAAGGGGAAAATCAAGAGTTTTGTTTTGGACATAACTGAGACACCTGTAACACAATGGCATGGATGTTTCAAGGAGGCTGATGAATGTATAGGCTAGGGGCAGAGAAGAGGGCCCTAGACCAGACCATAAAGAAAAAGGAGATGGTATTTAATTCTGCAAAATGAGTGCGCTCAGAATTAAAATGTAAAATTACTTTCTAAACAAAAATCAACATTTACTTAGTTTTATCCTTATTAAACATACAATATTTTTATATGAAAGTTAAGTGGGACCAAAATCCTTTGGTTATCTTCTAGATAAATCATAATTCCATTTGTCAATTTGCACATCTTCCCTTTAAACAAAGGTTCCCAACCGAGCATTCAGATAAGCAGCTTAAGCTCCTTTTGAAGAACAGCTTGTTTACCCCTCACGTTCAAGGTGAAATGACTCAAAGCACAACACATGGGTTCTGAAAGCAGTGAACATGCCAAGCTGGGAGAGCCTGGATCTAGTCTCATATACAACATCAGTTCTGTTGCTACAGAACTATTCAATGGCATTGTGAGAACCATGCTACAAGTTATGTAGAAAAGACTACACCATACTTTTTAACTTAGTTTTAAAGAGGAAATCAATGAAGACACAGCTAATGTTTCAGTGGTCTCAGTAACAATATTGGAGAAAGTCAATAATTCTTTTCAATATTCCTCTGGTGGTATCATAGCATCTATGTTTATGGCCCTGTCTCCACATGTAACACATCTTTAATAACTCTTAGAATAAACATTAGGTTCAGCATTTGTAAAATGCAGTTTTACAATATCAGACTCCACACTCTCTTATATTTACCTTTATAACCAGCTCAAAAGCTACTTGATTTGTATGAATCAATTAATTTTTTATGAATCAATTCATTTCTTATCAAACAATTCTGTGAATGGTCTCATGATAACCAGGGGAATGCACTGAATCAGAGGGTTAGTTTCAGTGTTATATCAGAATTTTTCAGTGTGGAGTTTGTTTGGATGCTTGAGTCATATGAATGGGTGACAACAGGCATAAGGAATGATTACCATCAATATTGCTGAGAAAACTGTTGTATCAGTACTATGTAATCATGCATGCCGCATGTGCTTTGATATGTACATATACAAACAAACTCTGCATTTTAAAGTCTGTTCGTATTTCCAGTTTTCATACTTTACTGAGGTCAGGGAGGGGCGGCTGATGATCCCACCAGCTGCCTAGGTCTCTGGGGTGACAGGGAGGGGCCCAGATCCCATACTTTCCTAAACTTATTCCAAAATGGTTTGTATGAGTCACAACCTACACAGAGCAAAGAAAGAAAGAAGCTTTAAGTTAATTGTATCCAGTTAGTTTCCTAACGAACTCCTCACAAGCATGAAGAACAAGCCTTTGGGCAGAAGTGATGAAATTATGCGTCAGAGCTGGGAAGGCAACTGTGACAAAGGAGGAGGCAGCCACCTGCTCCTGCAAACCACCCCTGCCATCTTGACTATCAGCCTGGCAGGACTCTGAAGGCATAGGAAGGAGAAGAAGCAGAAGGAAGAAGGGAGGACCAATCCATAGGGCACTTTGTTAGTCAGAACTGGTAGACACTACCAGTATCACCACTAGTAATGTTCCTTTGTCAATAAGTTATGATTTCTTCATGGCCTTTTTTCCCCTAACGTTATATGCTATGAAAGATGCACCTGTGACATATTTCAAGTGACCGGCAATAATTCCTCCTTGTACACTTAAACCCGCAATGTGGCGAAGGGGGTTGATTTGTTTCATTTTGCTTTCATTTTTAGACTTGCTTCCCTCTCCCTCTCCCCTTTTTTCTCTCTTTTTTTTTGGTACCAGAGATTGAACTCATGACCTCATGCTTGGCAGGCAGGCAATGTGCTGCTGAGCTAAATCCTTAGCTTTTTTCTCTTCATTTTTAATTTTTTGGTTTTATAGTTTTGCAAAACATTTACATTTTTCCAAAATCAAAGATACAAATGAAGTACATTGAGGGAAATCACATTTCCAATCTGTTTTGATTAAATTTTGGTAGCTCCATCTGTCATTTTTCAAAAATCTAAATCTATATAGATTTATGTGTTGTTTAATGATAAGGATATAATCTCAGAGATGTGTTATTATGATGGCAACTTCATCACTGTGTAGATGTCAGTGTGTATCTAAACTAAAATGGTTCGACGTACTTTACTAGGCAATATAACTACGGGACCACTCTCCTATATATGGTCAGTTGTTAACCAAAATGTCATTATGTGGCACATGACTGTGTGTACATAAATATGTATCTACCCTCCTCAAAGCAACCACACAAATTTTCATCTTGCTTTTCTCACTGATAACAGATTAAAGTGGTCCAGGCTTTGTGATCCACAGCATTATGGGCTATGGTTACTCATTTCTTTTCAGAGGGGTACAGTAGTCCTTCATATAAATGTGCCCTGACTTGTTCCACAAGTTTGCTATCAATGAAAATGTTGGTTGTTCCCAATGTTTTGCTATTACAGACCTGCCTGCAACAAACAGCCTTATACATACAACCTCCTGCATTCTAGCCCATGTATCTTGAATGTTTCTTAAGAAGTAGGAAGTTGGGCCAGGGATGTAGTTCAGTGGCACAAGTGCCTGCCTAGCAAGCCTAAGGTCATGAGTTCAATCCCTGGTACCATTAAAAAAAAAAAAAGAAGAAGAAGAAGTAGGAGATTGATTTAAAGGGTAAATTCATTAGTAATTGTGATAAATTATGAAGATTTCTACTCATCTGAAGTCTGAGTGAAAATCAAGGTATTTACATTTTACGTTTGTTTTAGTATGAGCAAGGCTGAGCATCTTTTCAAATGTTTGACAGCCATTCAGGATTCTTTTTTTAATGAACTGTAACCCTTACCCATTTTTCTTTAAAGTCATTGGTGTTTTTCTCATAATTTTCAAAAAGAGTTCTTTATATATTAGGGCTAGGTAGTTTTTTGTTTGATTAATATTTAAAATATTTTCTTCCAATCTGTTGGAATTTGACTTTTTAGGGTTTCTCCCATACCAAAAAAGTTTTTAAAAATTTTATACAGTCAAATTTAACAATCTTTTCCTTTTTCTTCTTCTTCTCTTTTATTGATTTGGATTTTGACTAAGAGATAAGTGTTTTTTCCCCCTTGGGGTATTTTCACCTTAACACATTAACTTAGAAGCAATGACTTTTTATATAAAGTTGAACCTTGTTACTGAAACACATGGCATATCTTTTCATTTATAAGAGAATTGTTTGTTTGTTTTAAAGATGAGAAATGCTACAGTTTGCTGAAAGGAATGACCCATGGGGAAAAAGACACTGAGTGAGACACTCAGTGAGAGTGAGACATGGTTAATGTTGACCCTGGAGAGGGGCAGAGACAGGCAGCCAGGGCGCAGCTGTGGAGACCGGCTGCAGGGCTGTATGCGCAGTCTCCGTGGGCAGATAGGGGAAGAAGTTAGAGGCCGACAATGTGGCACCTTTCTCTCCTGATGACCTCTATTTTTCCCAGGTTACTAACTGAGTGAGAAAGAGGATGAAGGTCCTGGAGGCGTGGGGAGAAAGGGAAAAGGTCATCCTGAAGAAAAGGGGTGAGCAGGTCCATGAAAACAGTCCAGGTAAATGAGTAATGTACACGGAAAGTTGTCACAGGGCATACTCTGTTATAAGAAAAATCTCTGCACTCACATGAAGGTTGCCGTATATGAAAATCTCTTTAAGGGGGATGTTACAGAATTCGGAAATTGGGTGGAACATCTTAAGAAGCCCATTCACACTCGCACACTCACCACTTCCTCGGAGAACTCGTATCGTTTCACAAATCGGGATAAACTTCCTTCTGCAGCATCTTGCAGTATCTCTATTAGGGGTTCCAGCATATTTGACTGGATATGGATCATGATCTTAATAAAGAGAAGAAAGAAGCAAAAACAAGACTGAGCCAATATTTTCATGTTGATAAACGTTCCCAGTTAGAGTAGCCCGCACTGACAATGCCCACTCTGCTTTGCTGTTTTTTCCTAATTCAGTTGCTTGTACAAGTTTGAAAAAGCACTGCACTTGGAGTATAAGTTCAACCAGCCAAAATTTGCTTTCCAAGAATGAATCAAAACACAGAACTGCAAAACTTGCTTAAGAGCAATGATGAAGATAGCACAAACCTTCGAGTCTGGACATCTGGGCTGAAATCTTAAGGCTGGCAATTAGCAGCTATGTGATTCTGGGCAAGGCAGCTGATCTCTTGGACTTTAATTTTTGTTGCTTATAAAAGGGGGAAATACTCTGAAAGCTCACACTTTGTATTACCATGAACACGAAACAAAGTATTAGCACAAAAAAGTTACTCAACAAACAAAAATGTTAATTCTTCCTTCCTATCTCCTCTGGATTCAGAAGAGAAAAATCAAACCATTTGCCAGATTGGCAAATGGTACCTTGGGTTTGTTGTTGTTTAGAAACTGCAGGTACCAGGATAATGCAAGGTGAGTGGAAGCTGGCCAAAATCTCGATGAAGGCCTCCTACTTACACTGTATCAAAGAATTTTCAAGTGGCCTTTCCAAATGACACTGCTATCTTCCACAGACTGGCAGGGTGAACGTAAGAAAAAACGAATGCACCCCCACCCATTACCAACATTTACTAATAAGATTTGAAACACAGAAAAAGCTTAAAGAAAATGAGAAAAACTGAAAATTCGTCAACCATTGTTCACCAATGTTTATAATTTTATCTTACAAATATATTAATTTTCCCCAAAATCTGACCCTGCTTTTTGCCAATTATTATGAATACTTCTTCATAACAATTACAAACATTAGAGAAAAGAAACCTGATTTTTAATAAGTTATAATCTTGGAAATATACATTTTATTATATTGAGTAATGTGTATACATTAAAAAATCTAATTTCATAGACGATTCAGAAAAGTAAAAATTACTAAACATTTCAATGCTCTTGCTCCTTACAAAAGGGAATTTTACTGGAAGTTTCCTTTTTGATACTGCACTATGTCCTCTTACCATTCCTTCACTAGTGACACTGAGAGTTGAGCAGTGTACTAGTAGTCTATTTTTCATCACTGCAACAACATAACTGAGGCAGGCTACTTATGAAGAGTCTACCTCACAGTTCTGGAGATTGAAGGGCAGGAAGCTGGATTCAGGTCGACCCTGGTGAGGGTCCTGGTAGCTGGTAACATCATGGCAAACAGCAATGGCAGTCATGTGTGCAGAAGCAAGAAAACACATCTCAAGCAGGAAGCCAGCGAGCACGGCTAGGGTTGGGCTTTCATGGCAATCCTCTTGTAAGAATTATCCTATCCCTTCCCAGGACACACTGTCAATAACCCTAGGCTTCTCAGTATGCACCACATTCTCAAGGTACCACCAACTCCAACACTGCCACACTGAAGACCAGGCCTCCACCAAATGGACTCTTAGGGGACAAACCAAATTCAAACTACCGCACACTCCAAGCAGTTTATCAGGATGAGGAGTGATCTTTGGTCCCCAAAACAGAAGAAATTATGTCAAGTAGACTGAATATGAAGAACGTAATCTAAATGTGGAGGTTTAAAACAGGCAAAATTTTGAGCACACTGTATTAGGAGACAACCCTGAGTCTCTCGAACTTTTACACATCCTACAAGACTATCTTTTCAGAGATGTTTATGTCATCCAGAGCAAGGGACAGGCACACTCACTCCCCACTGTAAGAGATTTGAGTTCCCTAAACTCAGGTTCCTCTCCTAAAATTCAATCTTGGTCTACAAAAGGCATAGGGACCTCTTCACACCACAGGCAGTGGTGATTCGGAAACTGATAGAAAAATGCCAATGTTCCAGTCACTGCTATTGCTGGAATAAACTGTCCCTCATCCCTCAGTGTGTAGGACCCTTACTCCCCCAGTATCCATGAAACAGGGACAGGTTATGTATTAGTTTACAAGTAGGGTAAAACTTCCAACCCTCTAAGTTTTGGACATTCTTGTTAATAAAAACCAGTCCCAATTTGGTTGGCAGTAGTCTGTCTTCCCCTGGGCAAAGATAAGCCTACCGTATTGAATGCTGTGTCTCCAGTTCCTACCACACAGTAGAACTCTCAATATAATAGAGAGTAGAACTCACAATATGAGTGTGAGTCCCCCAGCAATTAACAATACAAATCTGGGAGACTTATGCTGGCAGTAAGGTGCTCCTGGAAGATTTTTGATACTTCTTAGGTCTTTCCAGTAACTTCCCAGATTCAGTAGGGGTTTCAAGGATAAGGCTCAGTATGTTAGAATATATTGACAAAGGGCAACGATGAAAGGCAGAGAGAATGCCTTACAGCTAAGGGCTTGTCTACAACTCCAGGATACAGTCAAGGAAACTAAAACCATAGCATACTACTTTAACATTATAGATTTCCACCAAAAACTGGGAAATTTCAAGCAAGGAACACGAGACATTTGGCAAGAGAAACTATTCAGGGAACTCATTCTTTCTGCCACTCTCATTTTTTAAGACCTCAGAAAATCATGACAAGTCACTGGATATCCTCGACCAAAAAGGACAGTAGCCCTGAGCATACAGACATTTACATTTCTTGTTTCTTTTACTGTCTTTTTAACTTTGCTATGTTGTGTTACCATAGTATAACTGACACTATATCCATTCTAACCTTCTTTTCCCTAAGAATTCCTGAAATTTAACTGATGCTGCCGTGTATGGAATTCAATTGTAGGTCTCAGATTTCTTTGCAGTTAGGTATAGTTATGGGATGAAGTTCTGGCCAATAATATGTAAGCAAAAGTTGCTGGATGAGACACTTGGGAAAGGATCTCTTTTTTTGTTTTGTTTTTTGGTTTTTTTTTTTTTTTTTTTTTTTTTTTTTTTGAGACAAGGTCTCACTATGTAGCCCAGGCTGGCCTTGAACTTGACGCAATCCTCCTGCCTTAGTCTCTGGAGTGCTGGGATGATAGTGTGTACTGCCATACCTGGCTATGAAAGTATCTTTAAAAAGAACCAACTGTTTTGTCCTCTCCTATTTTTTCTACTTCTTGTGGGTCAGGGATGTAGCACATGGAAGTCACCTGCTTAAGACAGCAGTTAAAGGTAGAGAGAGGCGGGGTTTCTGTTTGGAATGTCGCACCACAACATAGAAAACCAGAAACATAAAGCCTCTAATTTGCATATACTCTTGTATTTTGGAGTTTATACTTATTGAACCAAATATAATAATTTACACATATGATAAGACACTGTCACAAATGTATGAGAAAAGAGCCCTATCTCATTTTGTACCTGTGTAGCTTACGAAACTTCTCAGCATAAGCCAGCTTTTCAGGGTGACTTTCCAAGTAGGAGAAAGAGACGTTAAGAGATTCACTGTATTAATAAATGACAAAGCAGCAAAACTAGCCACTTTCCAATTCCCTTGTAGACTAAATGCAATTCCAAAATGGTTTTCCATCTGAAGACATACCAGAGTCCTAGAGAAATGATTAGTATTCAATATAATCAGTGGACTTGGGTAATTTACTTAGCCCTTGAATCTTAGTTTCCATATCTATACCACAGAGGGATAGGGTTCTAACAGGTCTCTATAAAATGAATAAAGAATGTAAACTATCTCTAGCATGGCACTACAGCTAAATTCAATGGAAACCTGCCATCTCTGTCTTTAATTTCTCACCATGACCTCATTTCAATGCTATGAAAGGATTCTTCTGAGCCACTTTCTGCACTTTTCCCCATGCTCTCCAGGTTTCTTACCTTTCTGATGAACCATTTGGCTAGCTCTGGCTTTGGTGGAAGAGTATCTTCATAATCCCAACAATTCTACTCCCATCCTTTCATGCAATCAGCACATCTAGCCCACCCTTTCTCAGAAGGACGGACCTATGTGGATACCAGAGCTGTCCTTGTCTCATGGTGAAGCAAAGACGAAACAGGACATATGGTATCTACTGGAAGGCTCTGGTCATCAATGGCTCAAATGACCTAAGCTTCTGGACTTGGGACCTTTACAATGGAGCCCTGGCCCCCAGACCTGGCTGAGCCTGTGAGTTTTCAGGCTGCCCCTCTGCTGGTACCAGCAGCTTCTCCTCAGCATCAGTCCTAACAGGAGTGATCTGCAAGAACTGTGCCAGGGGGGCTCTCGGCATGATTCTATGGTTACACAGCGCTGTTGCTGCCTGCCTTCTCTGATGCTTCCTCTGCCTCATGTGAACGTCTTGGAAACAAACACTGGAGTCCACTTTCTTCCCATTCTTAGCCATCTGTGAGTTCACACCAGATCCCTCAGCGAAAGTACACAGGTGAATCTGGGCTGAAGGTTCCTACACACCCTCCTTCCGGATCTTAGCCTTTGCAAACTGCAGTCACTTTATAGCTATTTCTCTAGTAGCTGCTTCCCTTCCAAGCCCTTCTTTCCCTCTTTAGGCTCTCTGTTATTATTATCCCCATATTTTTGGTTTCCCAGACTCATCTTTCCTTCATGTGAAAACATTTTGACAAGTCTAAGGTATTCTGATACCAGATTTCTCACCTGACCTCATTTCACCAAAGTTTACCATAAAACCTCATAGAGTTTTTCTCCAGAAAATAACTTGGTACTGCATTGGGGGTAATGCTGGAGGATAAACACAGAGAAGCAGAACTGAGAAGCAATACCTTGAGGCATTGCTATTTTTTTCTCAGAAGCTTGCAGTTACGCCTAATCCTATTACTAGCTTCATTACAAAAGTATATTCCTTTTCAACTTACCTCATGTCAAACCAATGCTATTAGTATTGGCAAACATTCACCAAATGATGACTGTATGCCAGGCACTGTGCTAACTACACTATATCTTTCAATTCTCACAAGGAAAAGACTGGTACTATTCTTTTTGTTTCAGATGAAAAGAAATTCCAGTCCACAGAGGTAAAGTAGCTTACCTAAGGTCTGGGAGCTCCTAAGTAGTGGTTACAATTAATTGAATGTTCTGTTTCACTGGCTAGGATCTGCTATCCTAGTTCACAGTACACTATGTCTACTCACCTCTGTCCTGTGAAACTGTTTTTCTCATCCTGACCCCCTGACTGCTTCAGGACATGGGAAGCGCTTGGAAATTAGGGGCTTTATTCCTATAACTGCTCACAACCCAGCTGCACTTGGCACACAAGCGGGGTCTCAATGAGCTGGTTGTGTGGGGCTCTGGTCTCTTTAATAAAAGGATCTTCTTTTTTCCACTGGTCTAGGAAGGTTTAGGTGACTCAGGGTTCAAAAACTGGGAGTGGCGACAGGATGTTTTGAACTTTATTTCTGGAGGAAATCCAGTATACATGGGACTAGTATTTTCCATCTGTCTTTTAGTTCCAGGGGCTCAGGTTTTTGTGTATCTTAGTAGAATGATTGCAGTCCCATGGTGATCCAGACAAGGTCCCAAACAAGTGACACAGGTCACTTGTAGGCTAGGTAAGTCAGTGGGGTTAAGGGGATGCAGCAGACTAAAATATAAAATGAATGAAAACAGCTAACATCTACTGAGTGCTTACCACGTGTCAGGTACCACATAATGCACCCAAGGTGTATCAGCTCACTAATTATAGTGACACATGGGTCAGCCACCACAGGTGGGATAAAATAGCTTCTGGGTTTCTCTCAAGGCTCAGTAAGGAGATTGGTGAGTCTCTCCACGCCTTTTTCTTCTCTCCATGTGCAGCCTTCCCAGCTAAGCCTCTTATCTTCAGCACTTAGCTATGTCTTATATCCAAGCATATCTACCTTTCCTATCTGTTGATCAACTCCGGGAAACAATGGTTGACGATAGGTTGATGCCTATCACAGAGTGATTCTGTAACGGTCACATAGAGAAGCCCAATGACAGTTCTTTTGAGCTGAATAGACTTTGGGAGATCAAGTCAGTGTATCCAGACAAAAACTACAGACACTTTACGACATTTGTCTTACTTTAAAACCTAAAGAAGTTACTTACGTTTAAATTAGTACAAGTTATGCTCTCTGGATTCATGATTTGAGAAAATATGGATGCAGCTTTGGCTACTTCATTCTAGAAGAAAGAGAAAGTCATATCTCAAAGTCCATGAACATCACTCTGCTATCATAAAAGACATTTAGAAAAGGTAGGATAATCCTGTTTACAGGGTCCCATATGAATTTACCATGCCTAGACAATTTACACTTTTGAATGAAGAACAATCAAAAAAGAAACAACACAACCCAGTCAAACAAAAATAAGAAAATAACTAGTAGATGAAGAAGCCCCAATAAAAAAAGTGTTCTTATGGATATAAAAGACAGAAATGAGAGAAATGAACAAAATCTCATCAATGAGACACATGGGGAAAATCAAGCAGGCCTCACATTTCTCCAAAGGAATATTCCAAACTAGAAGACAGAAGATCAGTACCTCAAAAAAAACCTCTATAAAAGAAGCATTATCTCAAAATTATATTATTTGTAATTTCAAGACCTCCAAAATCTTTTTGCTTAAGTATGAAATCAAAAGACAAACAAAACAACTTTAAGCATCAAGAACTCAAGGAATATTGTTGCCCTAGAGAATTTACTGGACAACACAGAGAGGACTGGAAAACAGCAGTAAACAACTAGCAGTAAACAACGGGCCTATTCATACACAAAAGGATCAAAATGAATGTGGGCAATACGGTTGCAGAAGAAAGTACAAATGCTATGTAGCTAAATAAGTACGAAATGATAACAGTAACAGAAAGGAAGAAATGAATGCTCATTTCTTCATCTTTATTACTTGAAGGTAAAAAATATCACAAAGGTTGTTAAGTATATTTACGAGATAAGCAAACACTATAAAAAATAATGTATCAACTAAAATTAGGTGGTAAAGGAAGGAAATTAGGAAAAAATACACATATTTCTCTACTGTTTATAGACAGGAAATAATAATCAGCACAGGTAATAATAATAATAATCATAATAATAATGAAAAGGCATGCCCATCCTATGCTCTGATTAGCCCTGGTGACTGTGCAGAATCGTTTGGAGCCATATATAAAACACAGAATATCACTACTGTACATGAGTAACAAAACTTCCCCTTTAAAAAATAAAATTTTTCACTGTAACACAGGCATGTCCAACTCACCAGCCATAATGGACAGGTATGAAAGTTAAACCAAGTTTCAGTTTTAAAGCAATTACTAGGGCAAAAGTACAAACCAAAAAACAACAACAATAACAACAAAATCCCATGATACATTTTTAAAGTTATAAAAAGAAAAGGCATTAAATAAAATGAGACTTAGGGTCATATACATGTCATATTAATATAAATGGGTTAAATTTAAAAAAAAACTAGAATAAAGCAAACCTGAAATTGACACAATGTATAACAGGCTGACCTAAAACAAAATAATTCACAAAGACTGAGAATTAAAAAAAAAAAAAGTTGAGACTAAAAGGATAGGAAGACATATATATCAGGCAAATACAATATAGAGAAACAAAAACAGAGATGGAGCTATTAACATTACAGAAGGCTGAGTTCAGGGCAAAAGCATTGAGCACAACCAAGAAAGGCACTCTTGCCTCACTGAGAGATTTACGAAGATGGCGTAACAATGGTGATTTACCTGAACTCCAATCTGGGTAACTTATGCACACACAAAGGGAGAACTATAAGAGCTATAAGCTACAAAAAGAAATGCAAACGTCCTTAGAAAAGACTAATTCATCTCACTTGGTTCTTGACAGATTGAGAGGACAAAGTAATTCCCCCTGGACACAGAAGAAAACTCAGGAAGTTAGAAAAATAATCACTCCAGTGATTAGCAGTAATCCAGTGGATGTCTGCTAAATGTGTATCCTCTTAAGTCTTTGTCCTTCAATGACTTTTCCCAGCAGTATATGGAAATGGACCACTCTGATAATCTTATTTGTAATTAGTCATAAAGAAGTGTTTTCCAGTCACATTTATCAGCCAAATAAATAAGCTAGCTAGGTCAGTATTTTTCTACCATAACATTTCCTTTTACTACACAGTAAACATGTACAATATTCATACTTCTTTAGGCCTTTACATAGAACACTGAAAAGCAGGAGCCCTTTAAGAGACTTTTCTAGGGTTCCAGCTCTTTGTCCTTCATGAAGATGTGGCCTCAGGGAGTTGCCTTTCTCTGGGGCGGCTGCCTTAGTCAAGTAATAGTTCCATGAACAGAATTCAGCTTTGGATAGTGTTAAACTATCCTTCAAGAATTTGCATAGAAAACTGATTATTTGCAATTTTTCCTTTAATTACTTAAGAAATTTGTCTTAAGCTTCCCTCTCTGATTCTTCACAGGATCTGGGCCAACACATTCTACATAGAAATATAGGGTAGGTCCTCAACTGTAAATAAAAACATTCTCTGCAGGCACAGGTAGAGACTTAGGTTGCTACAGTGACAAAGGCACTACTCTCTTTTTGGGGACTTTTCTTAAGATATACTACAAAGCAAGGACAGGGGCTGGGGATTTAGCTCAGCGGCACAAGCACCTGCCTTGCAAGCAGGCGGTTGTGAGTTCGATCCCTGGTACCGGAAAAAAGGAAAGAAAAAAAAAATCCTAAAAAGCAAGGACAAATGAATGCCTGTCTATCCCCAGTTTACTTGCATGCACCCCAAAGCTTTACCTGATTCAGAGCTAACGCAACAGCAAAACACGATGCTCTCCTGGAGAGAATGTCTCCTTTGATGTGGGCATCTTCTCTTAATGTGGTACAGATGTTAAAAGATTCTCGGCTATTCTGTGAGAAGACAAGAGCATTCAATAAATGTCATGAACTTTAGTTCAACACATTGATTAATAGTGCCATTTTAAATTTCCCTTGTAAGGATTTCCAAGTGCCTACCTCAAGCCACTTCAAAGATTAAGCCTTACTGAGAGAGTATTTTCTAGTGACCATGTTACCTACATGTTATCAGTTCAGTCTAAAATAACTATTTTTGAAACTATTTGTCAATTTTGTGATATGGGCATTTTTCACCTGCCAACACTTTGGTCTCTTTGGATCTGGATGAGTTAGTTTCTATACAAAGTCTCTGGAATGTAAAAGACTAACTTGAACATAAATTATGAAAGAACCCATGAAAAAGAAACCTAAAACAAAATAAGCCCTCCAAGAATGTGAGTGATGAAAAACCCCCAAGACAATGACAATAAAACAAAGCCCCTTCTTCTGTGTATGCTACAGGGCATACAGCAGCAATATCAACTATGCTTCCGCGTCTGTAATACCTTCAGTCTGAGTATGATGTGGGGTGGAAGGTCCCAGAATGGACTCAGACTCTGTCCTGGCTGATAAACTCAATATTGCAACTTGTTTCTACAAAGTGATATAAGTTATTCTTGGTCAGAGGGAAATAAAAGCCCTCTGGACCTTGCTGGGTAGAGGAATTAAATTCTGCCCACTTTAGCACATACTTGGAGACATCTCTAGGTAGCCCAGGAAACTAGAGGTCACAGTTTTGAATAACCAATGCTCTAGTGTTGGTTTGTTGGCCTTCCATGTCACAAAATCGTAACAGTGCTATAATTGAAAAGAATGATCTAATCCAAGGGTCAGCAAACTATATAAACCTCTAGGGTCAAATCCAGCCTACATGAAGAATAGCCTTCACATTTTTGAAGACTTGTAAAAATAAAATGAAGAAGATGTGACAGAGAGTCTACATAGTAGAAACTGTATGTGTGCCCCCAAACCTAAATATTTAATATATGGCCTCCTCAGGAAAAGTTTGCTGACCCCTGTATCTAGCTGTCTCATAAACAAGCTAATTGATCATTTCAAAGCTAAATAAGCCAGTTAACATTAAGGCAAGATTAGGCTTCAAGATTCTCAATTTCTAGTTGTGTTTTGGTTCCACTATAACCCAGCTGCCCATCTTGTTTTGGAAAGTTGCTTGTGCTCCCCACTTTAGGGGAATTTTTCAATGGTTCATTTGCTTCTACACTGGCTAGGGTCCATCATTTTCAGTTATTCAGGTACCCAAAGTTTAAGTGGCATGAGTGAGTATAGTACTATATTGGACTTTGGTCTTTTCACTTGTATTCATTTGACAAATATTAAAGGAAAGTTTCTAAGTAAAAGTAACAATCCTGGCAATAATGACATAAGGACTTATAAATCATGGTCTTTGTCTGCCAACAGTTCATTTTAACACAACACCCATTTATTAAAGACTTGCTAGGTACCAGGTTTATCAGGATGGAATGTATGTACTACAACTGGGCAGAGTTGTAAGTACAAGCATGGGATACAAACAACACAGTCAAAGGATATTTGCAGGAGGTAATGTGACTGCCAGCTTCAGAGGCCATGAACAACCTCACAGATGTGGGCAAAGTAGTCCTGAAATTGGAGGATTTTAGGAGAGGAGGGAAACGGACAGAGCTGGTGAATTCCAGCATGCAAGAACTCTACCTCACAGCTTGAAGCTGACATACTATCTCTTGTTCTCACCACCTACACAATCAGCAGAGAAGGATGGAAGATGCTAAATCGCTTTTACCATGAAAAAAACTGTCAGACAAGGCTAACTTGGGTTTTCTAAAAATGAATACATTTAAAATTGAAATATTTGCACCAGATGGAAAACAGACTGGAAAGGAACTGAGTTTTACTTGTAGAGAAAGAAAGCGAGAAAAAAAATTCTCAAACACTAGCCACATGCCCTGAAAGTTAGGGGAAAATAGTCTTACCAGCTTGTAGCAAATTGCAAAAGCAAGGACATAGCTATCTTGGTTGAACTTCACATCCTGGTTTTTCATCTCTAGTACTACTTCCAATGCAGCTGCCAAAAGGAAGAGAGAGCCAGCAATGTCGAACACATAATCGCAAGGCCAGGTTCTCAAAGCCTGACCTGTTCAGCATCATCTATTGAAAAGTTATTTCTCAAAGTCACTTACCAGTTAACTAAAGCTCAAAACAAATTACCACATCATGTAGGAAGAACAAATACAATATTTTAAAGTCTGTTCTAATGTTAGCATAAGAAAGGTCTGAGGTTTTACTTTAAGACATGCCATGCAATGTGATGTGTTCAAACTTTTTAAAGAGTGTGGTCTCTATTGTTCAGTCCCTCCTCAGGAATGTACACAGGCAAAACTGATCCACTTTTTTTCTTAACAGTGATACCACCAAAGACAGTAAAAATTTTCATCAACTATAGGTTCTAGTACTTACTTTCATATTTACCCTTGATAAATAACATATCCATCAAAATGTTGAATGACGTGGAGTCTGAGAAGAAACCTTGTAAACGCTAGTGAAAAAATAATACAGATTAGTTAAAAAGTAAAGCTAGTAACTTAGTGATCCAGATCTTATTTTGTTGCATACTTTATTTACTTGGTCTCCTGAACACTCCAATAATCTAAGAACTTATTTTTGGAAAATGTTTAACTCTGTCTACTATTCTGACTCCTTTTTGGAATAGGCATAGTGAAAAAGAGGGGAGGGATCTCAGAGTGTCATAAACACAGAGAAGAACTCCGCTTTGAAATGTGGCTCTGTAATACTCAGGAGAAAAGAAACATGAACATGAACCCTGCCAGGATGAAACCTGGGCAGCAATTATTAGCAGGAAATGGCAGTTATAAATATAGTGGAGAATTAAGACAGGGCAGTCTCATACAACTGTGGCCCTCTTTTCACAGAAATAATGAAGAACCATTACTCACTCTTTGAAAATAATTTACTTAAAATAATTTTTAAAATTATTATTTTTTAATTTTAATTACTTAAAATAATAATTTACTTGACAAACTAAACTTGAATATCTTCATTGCATATATGTGGCTTTAAAATAAGTAAATATTGCAGGGTGGCTCAGTTGAGCTAAAGAACATGCATATTAGTTAACTTTTTGGTGGCAAGAATATTTTAAAGCTTTCTCTCAAAATTTTAAGAATATCACACATTCTGTTTTTCCCCTTTTTTTAATTTAAAGAAAAAAACAGGTAAGAAGGGTAGAAACAATACAGAATTTCAGAAAAATAAACAGTAAGAAATCACCAGTCGATAAGCTACATACCGTCATCTTAGAAATAGTTGCTCGAGTTACAAAATTAAAACATACAAAGTGATATTCAAACAATGACACTGCAAACAGTTCTGCTGAACGATCCAACAAGAACTTAGTGATATGGTTATCAGTCCTACACACTTGTTTTTTATCTTAAAGAGGGTAAGAGTAAACATAACAAAACAGAACAAAACAGTTTATAATGAAACAATTTAAAGAAACCTAGATTTCAAAGCAAGTCCACTGGAAATCTTCACTGTCTATCTTATTTTCTCTAGTTTTCTTCCAAATAATTGTCCCCATCTTCACACACATTGAATATATACTGAACATTACAGAACTAATCAGATCATTACAGGATGATAAAGGCTTTTTAGGTCTTCAAGACCTGATTTTGGGGAAGTCAATAATGTCTACCATAATGTTTTTCCATACATTCTTTATTAACCACAGACACCACACTTACAATCAATACATTCGTTCTAACTAAAATTGTGTCTGGCACCGGTATCACTTTGATGTCTTCCTAGTATTTTGAATGTCATGCTAATATGGCACATGATATTCAAACATTCCATTCAAGGCCTTGTTCAAGTTTGTTCTTTCATGAGAGCCTTCCATGAACCTGATCTAGATGTTGAGAATAAAGAAATCATAAACAAGACATACACCATGCCCCGAACTCCACCTGGGTTTACATCTGGCGGAACTTAACAGTTTACCCCAAATGTCATTTGGGCAGCATTTTTGTTTACATACGGACAAGTCCCAGTGTCACTTGGGTCATTTTAGGTATCATTTCAACTAGTTGATTCTTACATTGAATAAACTTGACATAATTGTCGTTTTTATATTTCCTGTTATCTTATAAAAATCAACAAAAAATGCAATTTTTAGTCATCCTGTATTTAAACAATTAAACTGATAAGTGGTTAAATTCTGGAGAGGAAGGCAATGAGTGGAAAGAAAAAACCAAGATGGAGAGGGTAAAGGAAGGCTCTCCAACTAGAGACCTCGGTAGAAGTGAAAATAGGCCTAACGCTGTTTTTTTCTTTGCTTCCAAATGAGTTAAGCGTTTTTATTCTTTTGGTTATCTCTAAAGGGTTAACTACTTCCTTTGTAGGTGATGAAATATGTAAGGCTCCACTTCAAATGTTGGCACTGCTGTGCACAACACAGTCTTTTCCTCTTCACTCTAACTCAGAATTAACACTTTGATTCTTGTATTATGTTCTAGTCCCAGAAGTAGTTTCCACTGAAGAAGTTATTTGAAGACAGTCTTAGGCTTTTTAGCAGTGGTCTTTGACCAGGCTCTATCTTCTCCATAAACACTACAAAGCCTTAGTTTATACATGCACTCATCTAAGAGGCATTCTCTCAAATGAGTTTAAATGCACTCTTTAGACAACTTATATGATATGTATTTTTTCCCTAAAAAATAATACCTCCAACCCAAAGAAATCATGGTCAAAATAAATGAAGAGTTCAAGATAACATCAGTCCCATTTGTTTAAAATCCTGGTGCTGTGCGGATGACAAGCAGCAGCCAGTTATGACAAGTGATAAAGCCAGTAACTACTGAATCCATTAACACGTTTCTAAATCATCCTTAAAGAAAATCAGAAATGGGGTCACACCATCCTTACAGTAGTCCGGGACAGCAACCATACCATCTGGATTCATGTTTACACCAGTGAAGAAGTGACAGTTTTTGAAATTAGCATGGATGTGCTTGATTTTTTTCTGCAACCCCTTTCACAAACGGTTTTACTCTTTCTGGTCTTTGTTCTTCAAGTTTGCTTTTGATTGACTTCATATAACCTTTGATGTATTTCTTGCTGGTCTCTTTAGTGAAGCTGATTTCCTGCAACTGATGATTCATGACAATAAACACCTGTGACAACAGTGCCTTCGGTGCCTTTGCCCGCTGGGCCTTCAGCAGAGGCATTTCCACCGATGAGTGAGTCATCAACATTACTCTCTGTTCTACTGACCATCCTGCCCTCCACTCCAGGTGCAGCCCGCCACGATCTCCCCGATCTGGTAGATGTCACAGAATATCTCAGCTTGGCTGATGAGGTCCCAATTGACAATCATGATAGTGGCTGAAGGGAGACAGCGGCCGTGCTAGTTTAGCAGGAGAGGGGAACTCAGAGCACGCAGTGCAGCACGAGCCACACCCAGAGGGTCAGGAGAGTGGGTGGAAAAGAGCTACTCATTCTTCACCCAGTTCATTCTACTCCACAAAACTAATTTATATGTGAATTTTCTCATGTAAATACAAGCCTGGGTGAACAGTTCTACCATGTACAAAACACTCTATATAAAAGAAAGATAGACAGATTAGCTTGTTATGGAAGTTTCTGAATATACTAAAATGTACAAGGTGGTCAGCTCTTGCACCAAAATTTAACTAATATTTCTGAGCATGCATGAATTTGTAATGTCTCTAGATTCTAGTTTCCTATCTATAAAGTAGAAATAGTAATAGAGACATAGCATCAGGGGTATTGTGGGCAATGAAATAAAACACATAATGTGCTTAAGCACAATGCTGAGGACACAATAAATAACTGCAAAAATAAGATTTCCTTTTATAAAAAGAAAATCAGTATGTGGAAGCATTTTGAAAATGGACACGTACTTTATAAACAAAAACCTCAATCAGAAATAAAAATACAGAAAAAGGTGAAGTGAAGCATAGGAAAGCAATTGTGAAACAGCCTAAAATAAAGCATCCTCCTCTGAAATATCCTGAAGAAGGTGTCCGTGCCAAGTTATCACACATCCATGGCAGCCACGCACCACGACATTGGCACTCCACCTGTCTACACCTCTATACATACCTACCTTTCCCACATGAGCTGACACCAGCCAGCTTTACACATGCACAGAACAATGCATTCACTCAGCTTAATAGACTTTCTATGAAAATCTAACCCAAGAGTAATAAATTGAAAATTTTTTCTCCTAACATTATCAAAAACACAGCAGGAGGAAATCACATTGGCAGAAGGTATTAGGAAGCAATAACCTGGTCTTTGATGAGCTCCACTGCAAATTCCTCCAGATTCATCTCATAACACAGTCTCATGAAAATTGGTCCAAACTTATATTGCCCCAAAGTGAAATTTCTATTCTCTGCATGGTACCTAGTAAAGAAATGATTGAATGAGTTAAAAGGTTCAGCACAGCACAAACGACAGACACAGATCATGGTGTACACTCTGCTAGATGTGGGAAGACACAGTAAAGAATAGGGCTTCCAAAGCAGAAAAGACATGGAGAGCTGAATAAAACCAGAGGGCTAGAGGAGTCTTGCAATGCAGAAATATAGAAGGCATTCAAATATCTAAACAGGTTTTGTTATAGGCCAACATGCCCTGTGGAATGAAACAGAAGAAAAATTTACATTGCAATCACTCTCTAAGTGGCCTTTTATAGGTAAGTGGATGCAACTCAGGACCACACTCGTAAGTGAAATAAACCAGACGCACTGTGTAAACATCATATTGTGTCCCTAGTGTGAGAAGCTGAAAGAGTAAATAAGATCCAAAATGTATAATATGTACTGTAAAATGGGAAGAAGTTCAAAAGCAAAGAGAAACTGTAACGGGGAATGGAGAAAAAAAGGAAAGGAAAAGAAAATACATAAAAGACAGTTAAGATACTTATACTACTAATTTCTCTTAGTACTTGAAAAGAAAGGTTTGTGCTAATATATTTGGACAATTAAATGCCAATATCTTGTACTCTGAGTAACTAATTTAAAGATAACAATATGCAATGTATTAACCACTATTACCTTCTTACTATCTTATTTTGAAATTTTTTCTTTTTTTTTTCCTCTTTAAAATAAAGTAAAATTTAAAAAATAAAGGAAGTGGCAATGGCTGGGAACTAGTAAAACTGTGTTAGGGGACAAGTGAGGGTCCTCAAAAGGGGACCCGTCTCCTGGAGAATGAAAATGCATGGGCAGGGAATGCTCTGTGCTCCTCCAGGATGGCTTCATCCCCGTACAGCACAGCAAAGCTGCCAGAATCTCTGCTTCACGTCACCTGGATAGACAAATTAAATGCCCTGAAATTTTTAAGTCTTGGAAAAAAGCTAATTTCAAAGCAGTGGAAGTTTATATGTCCTTGAGCAGGTACCAGTCTGCCGGTTTTTACTTTGAATTATCAACCCTTTCTGTTACAGATACCAAGGGCAATTTACTGACCAAGAAGTTCCTTATGTTTACATGTAAACTAAATTTTCATACTGTAAATGACTTTAAAATACTAGGGGAAAGCTCTGATTTTATAAAACAAAAGCCTATGTTTTTTTCCTTCTGCTGAAATAACTAAGGAAAGTTGAAATGGTATTTTGATCAAGCTATTCCTAAACACCTATACTGTCAGAAGGATGATGTATACCTGCTTTATATATGTGATAGTAAAAGTATAGAAATTATACATCCACAAGTAGTCACCGCTTCATTATAGCACTTACGAGTTATATTAGTAAAAGACAAGAGAGTGCAGTAGTTAAGAACTTTTAGACTCTGATTTCAAAATGATGGTTCAAATTCCAGCTCTTTTATTTACCGTATGTGTAACCATAGGCAAATTAACATGTCAATTTGTTGACTTATGAAATGGAGACTAAAACAGAATTCAAAACATGTTTCTGTGACGATTAAATAAGGGTTGCCTGGCACATGACAAATCTACAATATATGTTAGTTCTTATAAAATGTAAGACAAGCTGAGAAATGTCTTTAAAATTTGTAAATATATTTCAGTAAACAGCTTCATGAGGAACTGTAGTAGAATAAAACAGAAAGCAAAACAAAAGTTTTCCTAATCTAGTATTCACATTGAAAACTCAGTTCATGCAAATCAGAACCACCACCACTGCCAAGAAAAAAAAAGAGGGGACCAGGGAAATAGCTCAGCTGCACAGCTTGCCTGACAAGCATGAGGTCATGAGTTCAATCCCAGACACAAAAAACAAACAAACAAACAAACAAAAAACCAAAGCAAAGCCAGACCTATGTGGACAAGGTAAAAGGGACATCAGTTTGAGGCCAGTCTGGGAAACTCAGTGAGGCTTTATCTCACAAAAAAACAAAAGTGCTACAAAGTCACTGGGATAATCACCTCCTGACAAGAAGTAATCAAGGAAAAGAGTCTAAAATCCCCCTATAAACCAGATGAAAGCATTTGGTTATGAGGGGATTAAACTGCCTCCCATTTGTGGATCACTAAACAGCTTCTGTCCCAGCTGATGATCCCTACCCTACCCCGATCTGTCCTGGGAAGACAGGTAACAAGCAGGTTAGGCCATGGATGCTTTATTTAACTACCCACCCAGCTGTCCACAGGAGAGGAACAGACAGCAAGTGGATGGAGGGTAGCAGCAGCAATAAAGAATTCTGAGCTATACTCTGAATGCTTATGACAAAAATAAGTGGGAAATATGTTCCAAATTTTTATCATGTTTATTACTCTTATAAACATCGGTTGTTGCTAGGCATGGTGGCGCACACTTGTAACCTCAACACCTGGGAGGCTGAGGCAAGAGGACTGCTGTGAGTAAAGGCCAGTCTAGCTACATTGTGAGTTCAAGGCCAGCCTGAACTGCATAGTGAGACTCTGCCTCCCCCCACAAAACAAAACAAAACAATCCCACCTGTTGGCTACACAAGAAGTAAAAAGAGGAGAGGAAAATCAGCCAGATGGACTCCAATGATTTAACATTTTGTGAAACCGAAATAAGAAAAAGGAAGTTTTGCTGGCACAGCATAATCCTTTTGGAAAACATTCTGTTAGTTCATATTGACAAGCTCTAAAAGTTTGTATTTTCTGCTATGGTTTGGATTAGTTCATTTCCTGAGAGTCTGGGTGCTGGCAGCCTGGTCCCCAGGGTGACAGCAAGCAAGGGGATACAAAGGCTTTAACAGAGAGCTCTAAAGGGAAGTCTTAGTGCAAATGACGATCTGCCCTTCAAGGCACGAAGGTGGTTCTTCATGACCCCTCAGAGCACTCCAGAGAAAAGTGTTATAACATTTGAGCAAAGCCACCCCTGCCTCGGGCTTCTTCTATGGTAGTGGTGGTGAGCCTACTACATACAAGCCACAGCAGGCTTTTGTATCACAGAAAGCTTTAGAAGGGTTGCCATTACTACTCTACAGGACAGGGCCCCTTGCTCTGCAAATGCTTCCCATCCTGCCATCCACTATATGACACAGCTAACAGGATTCTCACCAGAACTGAGCTAAGGCCAACACAAGGCCCTGGAACCTCCAAGACTGTGGGAAAGGAAGAATGAGAAGAGGGAAAGGCTACGAAACTAACCAAGTGCCTCACCTGTGAATGACACTTTTAGCCAGCTCCACATCCTCCTGGGACTGACACAAATAAAGCAAAGTCTTCAGCTCCTGCCTCTCAATGAGTTTGTTCTGCGTCAGTTTCTCTTCCAAGTGTCTAAAATAGGTTTCTGGAAGGAAGCAAAAGATGGTGGCCATCACACAGGCTGACAAGGATTGTGAGGTGGCTGGCCATAGAGAAGGGGCAGCTTAAGGTGACTCATGTAGAGCAGCTCTGCCAGGGCTTGAGGGCACAGTGCTCTCCACAGTCTTTCTCTGTCCTTTCCTCTGGCTTTCTACCTGATCAACTATGGGGACAAACACTGTTTCATAGCATCAGGGAGAGGCTATAATACTGCTAAGTACTCTGTGAGCAGAAGAGGGAATAAATGATACAAGATTTCTCAGAGATTGAAGGGAATGAAGCCTACATTAGTGGTGTTACGTTTTAAACTTTTTACAATAAAAATTTTCAAATACACCCAAAAATAGAGAAAACAATAAAATGATTCCTTGAGCATCCATCACCCAGCCTCCACAATTATCAATAGTTTGCCAATTTCATTTCTTTGAGAATCCCTAAACTGACTGGACTTTTCAAGATAAATCCCAGATTTCATACAGATTGGTATTGATAGGAACCTTTGTTTCCATAGACTTTCTTAGCACAGTATGTGAAAATGCAACATCACACATAGCTGTGGTTTCACATGGTTTATACTTACCAATAGCTATTTATGAAATGTATTTTTCACTGAAGGTTACAACAAAACTTGAAAATCAGTCATCTAGAGATGTTAAATACATAGTACCTAAAAATCATCTGGAGGCTTTTATCTGCATCTCTGTCAACCTCTAGTTGATACTGATACAGGCCTCAAACCATACTCAGAGAGGAATGATTGCAGTTCTAATTTTACTATTTCCCTATGATTCTGGTACAAAGGATAAGGGGGAAATTGTAGGCTTTCTAGTAGTAGAGTGTGAGAAGAAAGGTAAATACAAAGGTAGCCTAGGAAACTAAGAATACATGTTCTCAATCTTTTTCTATGAGACAGTTTGTTGAAAAAATGAATAGGGTCAGAGAAAATTGGAATGACAGATGAAATTAACAAAATAGATTCTATTACCTTTGGTGCCAAGAAGACTATGTGCAACAGCCACCTTCTTATGTTGAAATTCCTTTAATTTCATAACATTATCTGTAAGCAGGTATCTTTTAGCTAAAATTAGAGAAAGAAAAAAGTTGCATAATTTTGAATGTCTGGAGGACAGCTTAATTATCTCCAATGAACCGATCTATTACAAAAGATGCATCCAGAGGGATATAATAAATTTGACATGGTCCCTGGTGAGGAAACCCCTCCAAATTACAGAGAATGTAAATCTTCAGCAAAAGAAGTTTTGTTTGTGAGTGAAAGGAGCCAGTGATTTAACTGTGTAAGACGACTCTTTGATAGGAAGCTAGGTTTTAAAGAACAGGCATTTTCCATCTGGTTAAGGGGTAATAAGGGCACTACAAAAAGAAAACAACTAATAGCCATAATTTAAATACAAATAAGCATCTAGTTTTGGTTTATCTAAGGGAGCATACAGTGTTGTGGAAAAAGCAAGGGTGAGCACAGCTATTCCCAGTCTTGTCATTTATGAAATGGGGTAATGGCCTTTCAGATCTTAACTCAGTATCCTAAATATAGATCAGAAATCACCAATCACAGCATAGTACATTTGAAAAATATTAATCTTTCTTTAGGATTCTTGATGGTGCACGAGGTAGAAAAATTGATGAAGCTTGGCCAAAGAATGGCCTACAAGAGTACTGGGTGCTATGTTAACAGGATAACAAAAAAAGTTGCTATATATTTATGAAAGGTAGTCAGTGAAGTGCTGCAAATTTTGCAGCTATCAGTTCCCTGTGACTTTGTGCAAATGACTTGATCTTGTCTGTTTTCTTCTCGGTAAATGGAGAAAAGATAGGTGCCTCTTCCACTGGGGGTTTAGAGGAATGGAATTCACACATGTAAAATGCACTAGAATAACTAACGCCTGACATAAAGTATGAAATACTTTTTTCACTCACTAGAATTCTCGTTTGATCATTTTCCTAAACATAATTAAAGGTAATTAAAGGTAGTTAAAGGTAATTCCGAGGACGAGGAAATCTGTTTAGTCTTTTAGATTTTAAGCACAAATCGGACTGCAAACGCGTGCAATCAAAGACATCCGCTCGCCAAAGGGGTAGGAGTGTTCCTAGAAACCATGCACGCTCCTTGCCAGGGATCACCAGGGTCCCAAAATCCAGACCCAGAGGTCCTCGGGTGTCCAAGGTACTGGGTCATCCAAGATCCCTAGGGGTCCCCTCTGCAAGTGGCAAGGGCGTGTTCCAGGCAAGGGAGGGACTTCTCTAAAGAGATCCCCGCTGGGATCTGGCACTCCCTTCTCCATCTCTCCCTCCTTCCATGGCCTAAGAGCGCGGATACCTCCAACAGGGCAGCGGCAGCAGGTGGAGCTTGAGCCTGCCACCCAGAGACACACAGAGATCCAAGGCGCTCGCAAGGAAACTCTTCCCACTGGCTGAAGCGCAGCAGCCATATTGTCCGAGGCCGAACCACTTGCGGGAGCCGGAGAGGGGAGAAAGAGCGTCTACTTCCGGAGCGCCCCTCCCCTTCCTCTGTCCGTAGGCTTCCATTTGGTACACTCCAAAATGGCGGCCCCCATAGTGCGGCGCGGACCGCTGCTGGCTCGGAAAATCGCAATTTCTCACCTCTCTCCAGCAGGTTGGTGACTGCTCCTTGCTGGGGCTATTTCGCCAGGCCCTTCATTATATTGTTCCTTGAGTGAAGGGAGCGGTCGGCTTTCAAGGAGAAAAAAATCTTCTGGGATATGGGTCTTGGAGAAGCTTTTTGGGGTGTTTAGTAGCACAGAAAGGGAAGGGAAGATCTCTGACCCATCTTCTTCCCTAAAATGATAGTGTCTGCCTATCCAAAACCGAAGATTCTACGATAATTTTGTGTATGACTTGTCGGATTTGTGTGTTTAGGTAGTCCTCATGCTGACCCTGAAAAACCCAAATATGCCCCACTCTGGGGCTGTGACAATTCCCTCTTCTAAAGTTTCCTTGGAGAAGCATCAGGTAGACCTCCCCACCTCTTCATATGGTCTTCACTTAGTTGGAGAATTTTTTAGAGTTAGGCTCAGTTTACCTGATGACCTTGGACATCATTCGTGGTTGCCCTTTCGCTTCTGTATTTTTCCATGTGTAATAACTGTTGGTGCTTCTAAACTATTTTGATATCTCAGGTGAATCCCCGTCCAGTTTCTTTAATAGATCTGATGACGGGGCAGAGGGTGGGGTGCTAAAGGTATTTAGGAAAGCCAGGTTTTCAATAATATTAGTCACATAATATTGATAGATGCACCTGACGATATAATTAAAATGCAGTAGTCGTGTAATCCCAGCATTAAAATGCAATAGTCCTGTAATCCCAGCATAAGAGACTGTAAAAAGAGAATGGAGAGTTCAGGGCCAACCTGGGCTATATAGTGAGTTCAAGGTTGGCCTAGAGACAAAGGGAGACTGTCTCAAAAAACAAAACAACCATCATCACTCTGTGTGTTTCCAAAGCCTCTTGTCTCTTTTCAGCTCACCTTGCTTACTTACCCCCTCCCCAAAGTAACACACACTTTTGTTCACATGACTTCAGGAATAGCTGTTAAATATCAATGTATAACCTCATAAATGACTATGTGAAATTGACCTACATATTAAAAACGTTCAATGTCACACATTCAGCAAGTTGGTATACATAGTTTGGCAACTCCATAAGAATTAGTTGTTATAGCTATTATTTACATACTTAATTTTAGTTACTAGTAAATGCTCCTCAGTCTAAATAAAACCTTGGATAACAAATCAGGAAGAGAACCATGAAAAATGATTTTAAGTTTCAGACATCTACTAAGTTTCGCAAAAATTACAAAGCTCAGCGGCATAAGCACTTGCCTTGCAAGCAGGCAGTCGTGAGTTTGATCCCTGGTACCGATAAAAAGGAAAAAGACCAAAAAAAAAAAAATTATAATCCATTTGAAATGCTGACACTATAAATTTTTTAAAAGAATGTCTTGGTTTCCCTTTTGAAACAGTGTTAGGAAACTCTTACTATCATATCATTGTAAAGGTTCTTGAACTTAAATTTTGACATCTTACTCTAATAGAGGTTTGAACTGAATTTATAGATTATAAATCCACATAAATATATTTGTTTTAGTTGAAAGATACAAAGTAACAATAACATTTCAATTCTGTGTTTAATCACCCTCATGCCATCTAGTTATATATCGCTTCTCTCAAATGTCCTCTGGGTAATTATCTGCTATTCATTTTGTTTCTGTCTTTAAAGAAAGCTAGAAGTATTAAGATATAACATGGCATACAGTTCACCCATTAACAGTATTTGGTTCTGTGGTTTTTGATGTTTATACAGAGTTGTACAGTCATTTCGACAATCAGTTTTAGGACATTTTTATCACTCCTAAGAGAAATCTCATATCCATTATCAGTCATTCTCTAATTCCACCAATCTTTCCCAGTCTCTGTTCCTAGTTGTAGGTAACCAGTAGTCCTCTTACTGTTTCTGTAGATTTGTCTCTTCTGGTATTTCATATAAATGGAGTTATAATATGTGGTCTGTTGACACTGGCATCTTTCACCCAGCGTAATGTTTTGAGATTCCTTTTTTTTAATTGCCAAATACTATTCCATTGTAAGGTTATACCACATTTTGGTGTCTATTCATCAGCTGGTGATATTTGGTTTGCTTCCACCTTTTGTCTGTTATGAATACTGTTCCCATGAACGTCTGTATATGATTTTTGTGCAGATGCACAATTCCTTTTTTCTTGGGTATATGTGCCCAGGAGTGGAATTGCTAGGTCATATGGTAACATCGTGTTTCTCAACATTTTGAGAAACCACCAAACTATTTTCCAAAGCGGCTGCACCACTTCACATTGTCACCAGCACTACATGAGGTTGTAATTTCTTTGCATCTTCACCAATAGCTGTTATCTGCTTTTGGATCTTAGTCATGGTAGTAGGTGTGAAGTGGGATCTCCAGATGGATTTGGTTTTGCATTTCCAGTAGGCAAATGACATAAGCCTCTTTCCATGTGTCTGCTAATCATTTGTGTACACACACACACACACACACACACACATATACATATTCAGCCTTCCATAGTCACACTTGTTGAGTCCATGAATTCAGCCAACCACAAATCAAAAATATCTTGTAAAAATTGCATCTGTACTGAACTTGTAGTTCAGTCTTTTTTCCTTATCGTTGTTTCCTAAAGAATACAGTAAAGCATCTGTTTACATAGCCTTGACATTGCATTAAGTGTTATAATAACATAAGGATGATTTAAAGCATTTGAGAGGACCCAGGAGTGGTGGCGACCACCTGTAACCCCAGTAGTCAAGACGGTGAGACAGAAGAATTGCTGAGAGTTTGAGGCCAGTCTGGGCTACATAGTGAGTCCAAGGCTAGCCTGAATTAGAGTAAGACCCTGTTTCCAAAACCCTAAAAAACCAAACCAAACCAAAAAATGTGTTAAACTATGTGAGAGGATTGCCTGGTTTGCATGCAAATTCCATACCATTTTATGTAGAGAATCTGAGCACCTGAGAACGTTTGTACCCACACAGGATCCTGGCACCAGTTCCCCAAAGACATTGAAAGATGATTATATGATAAAAGATGATTATACATATTTTTACCAGAATTTTTTTCTTTTGCTCATCTTTCAATTAGTTTGTCTCTGAGTTGTAAGAGCTATTATGTGTACCATACAAACTTATTATCAGAGAAATGAGTTATAAACATTTTTCCCCTTCTGCGGGTTGCTCTGTCATTTTGCTGAGTGTCCTGTGAAGCATAAAAGTTTTAGTTTTGATGAAACTGCCATTCATTCTTTCTCATTCTTTAAGCCCATATTTACTGAGCACTGCGGATGCCCAACATGGTGCTGAGGTGCTGGGAATTCAGCTGGGCAGTCTGGTGCGTTCCTTCACATTTGGCTTTTAATTTGTCTGTCTTAACTGGTAAATGCTTACTTTACTGGGGTGCTCGGTCACTAAGATACTACTCTTCATTTTATATGAAATAGGGATAAAAATGCTGATCCAAGACAGACGGAAATATTTCTAGGCCTAAAAATCATAATGCATTCAGTTAGTAAGTTAAGCAACAACTAGCTCTGCATGTGTTTTGAGTTTTAAGAAGTTTATTTATAATTTACTGATGATAAGTGGCTCCTAGCTGTAAAGTTACAGGAACAAAATTAGGAGGATTATTACCTATAAAATTCTTGTGACATTTTTCAGTTTTTTAATGTCTTTTACTTGTTAGAGGCAAATGCATTTTGTTGTGAACTGAATTGTAATCTAAGCAGAGTTCACTACAATATCATATTAGAATTTTTAAAAATGTAATCTAGTGTTTGAAAATATGACAAAGACATTATTTAGTAAGGCAGATATATAAAAACTGTGGTGAAACCATACCTATTAAGATAATTGTCTTTTTCCCCAGGTAAAAGATGCCTGCTTTCTGCAGCCTATGTGGACAGCCACAAATGGGAAGCAAGAGAAAAAGAAGAATGTCACCTTGGTAGGTGCCTACCTGTTGGGCTATTCTGTGTACTGTTTGCAGTCTGCATGTGTCACCTGTCATATACTCATATATGTGTAGAATGATGCTTTCTTTCATGATGAATCAATTTAGGTAAGCACATTTTAAATCTTAAAAAGAATTAAAATTTTACACACAGCCAAATCATTTTTACTATTTTTTATAATTTTAATATTTTATTCTTGAAAATATTTTTTTTTTTACTTGCTTTATTTTGTTGTGTGTATGGTGTTTGTTTGCTTGAGACAGGATCTCACTGTGTAACCCAGACTGGCCTGCAATTCCTCCATCATACCCAACCTTTGTCCCTTTTAATGTACAGTTTTGGTGCAACCTATCTTTTACATAATATTGTACTTTCATTTTTTAATTTTTAATCTCTTTTTAAAGATCCTCTTGTAGTCTTCAGGCCCCTTTTGACCTTTTTTGCATCATTAATGGCTGTAGATTTGAAAGCAAAGTTGGAATAGGAATTTAGGTGGTGAACATCTCCTCAGGCAGTAAAGTGCAGTTGTATTTCCTTTTCCCTCTTTCCCTGTATTTTGTACACAGTTGGCAACCTTTCTTTTATAAGATAACAAAGCCATCGATGTCACTACTCTTTAAATGTGTTCATACTTCAGATGGGACATCGGCAAAGGGAATAATAGGCTGGTGGTTAAGTTTTAAACGAATTCCAACACTGATCTGATATTTTCCCCCAGACTTCTTCCAATGTGGTTTTGATTTTTGTCCCCGTGGTTTATGGTCTTCCTGTAAATATGAGGGATGTAGTTCCCTTATGGGGGTTTTTAGAAGCATCGGTTTCCCCTGGTTTTGAGCTCTGGATTAGGCACGGGTAGGCACAAGACAAAGCAAGCTGTGCAGCATCTGAGGCTGAGAGATCATAGCTTCTCTGTAAGGAACTTGCAGTGTGATTCTCACTACAGAGACTTGGCATAGTCTTTTTTTATAACAAATACTATATAATACTCATTTTTATATTAAATTCAGAGATACGCTAGGCTTGTTGGCACATGTTTATAATCCTAGTACTCGGGAGGCTGAGGGTAAGATTGCAGTGAGTTTAAACCAGCCTGGGCTACATAGTAAGTTCAAGGCCAGGCTGAAATACACAGTGAGGCGCGCTCTCTCTCTCAAAAAAAAAAAAAAAATCAGTTCAAAGGTAATGTAATCTACATATATTCAAAAACCTATAGTTGCCATAATATAAAAAGGAAGTAACTTACAGCAAATAATATATATTTCACAATATAAATAAAGTGCTTTGGCAAAACTAATGTAAAAAACATTGAAGTAGCTAAAGCTTGTGCTTAAATGCAGTCACTGCAAAGGAAAGTCAAGAGATATGAATGGGTACAGCTGTGGTGAGCTGGAAACTCAGGTAGCAGAAGCGCCGTTATCAGAGTGAGGCCGTTTTGTTGATGGAATGAACAGCCCAGGTACATCTTGGTCCTTGGGGACCCTGGGTCGGCCCTGGTCCGCTTATCGGGTCGGGTGGTACTTGATGCTGTGGGGGAAGGACCCCTCGCCTGCAACTTCTAGGAGAGATACGTGAGGCCAAGAGAGTGGAACTCAGACCACTTGGAAGAAATTGAGGCTTTTGGAGACTGCTTTTCCCACTGTGTAATAGAACACCTTAGTACAACACACTTCCCTTCCCTGTGATGGAACGCCTTGCTTTCCAGTCGCACACACCAAGTGCTGGTGAGGCTCCAGAGACTGCATCCATCAACATCGAGCAGTAGATGGCGCTGTGGTTCCTTCCGGAAACGCAGGCGAGGGCCTGTTGTGGTGCACGCATGCAGGGCCGTGCTTATTATGTGTGTGGAGCCCCAGGATTGGGCGCGGGAGCTGGAGGACTGTGAGGTGTTCGGGGCGGACCCTCGGATTGGAGGAGGGAGGAGGGCCGATATGAGGCTTTCGGTGCCGCTGTCTCCATTGGACAGGCCGGACGTGGGGGCGTGCCCTTCATATGCCAGGACCGCACCTCTGTCAGCCTTCCTAAGCAAGCTGTTGGCTATGGCTGTGACCTGAGGCCCAGGGAGGCGACCCTTTGCGGGTAGGGGGCAGACAAACGTTTCTTTTCTTTTCCTTTCCTTTTTTATTGCAGTTTACAGTGCATAGTGGAATGTGCTCACCTTGTGATAGGTCAATGAATTGCCAGGGGAGCTGACTGATGCCGCAGAGGTTGTCAGCACTGCAGCTTCTATTGAAAAGTAGCCATTGAGTGACCTCTAGCGCCACAGATTATTTTTTAAAAATACTTTCACTGGGAGAATTGCAAAACGTACACACAAGGAAGGAAAGGGCCTAAGGAGTCCCCTGTGCCGGTCCCCGCCCAGGACCAGCACAGTTTCTCACCATCCGCGCTCTCTGATGCCACAACCCTTTCACTCATAACGATCTTGTTCCAGCTTTCTAAAAGATGAGGTCACTTTACACACCCATGAGCGCACCCCAAATGAGTTGTTCAAGTATGAAGGGTTTCAAATTTACTTGAGATTGTCATATATACATGTTTTTTCAATGTGTAACAACCGGGTCAGCTATGGCAGTCGTGTGCAATTTGCTTAATGTGTGACCCTTCTCGCACCACCTCTTTTTAAATGTTTATATAGAAACTGTAAACCTGGTGTCCTGTCATCCAGCTTCAGCCTTTGTCAGTTCCCTGATTATTTCCATATTCCCTACTCTTTTTAACAGATAGTTGCTAAATCATTTTATATGTATTTTGATATGTACCTCAATTTTTAAAATAACTACACCATTCACATACCTAAAAGTAGTTTAATATTAAAATAATTCTTAATTACATTTATCGAAATGAGGCCCAGAGATCATATATTACCACATGCTGAGGTACCTCTTTCTGTCCTCCTAAAACAGGTCTTTTTAGGTTTGCTGATTTTGCCCTATGGGGGTGTTTAACCAGTTCCTCACTTTCCATATGTTCTGCATAAACGGTAGTTGACAGAAAGGCTTTGATCAGATTTAGGCCTCCCTTCCTCGTCTTTCCTTCCTTCCTTTCTGAGACAGGGTTTCCTTTGCAGCCCAGGAGGGCCTCCAACTCCTACCTCAGCCTCCTAGGTGCTAGAATTACAGGCATGCACTAACATTCCTGGCTAGATGTCAGAAAGCAATGCAGCATTTGGCTGTCTCTCTGCATGTTAAAGATCATTCGTGATCATTATTTGGCTCTATTATTTCATTAGGAACTAAAGGCTATTGCTGTTTTAATTCTTTCTTCCTCATTCATTACCTAGAAAAAAATTCATAAGGAATTTTACCTTTGTCAGCATTGCAGTTATCTTCTAGTACTATTTATATAGATGAGGAAATTTGCACAGTATCTTCCAAAGCTGATCAGTAGGATTTTTTTTAATGTTATGAATTCTTAATATTTAAACAGTGCAGCTTGGTGTGGTGGTGCATGCCTGTAATCCTAGATATTCAGGAGGTTGAGGCAAGAGAATTGCAAATTCAAGGCCAGCCTAAGGAATTTAGGAGATTCAAAATAGACAGTTGAGACATTTTAATACATTACAGTTGGTATTTTTATTGATAGGGCCTTAGTTCCCATCTGTGCTCTGGAGAGCTTTAGGAGTTGTTGGGCTTTCCTTCTTTGGTGGATTGGTTTCAGGTTTTGGTGATTTCTGTATTGGCTTTCCTTTGGCTAAAATAAAAACACTGAATTAAAGCTGTGTCTTTCAAATTCCTCCACTAACTCACAGATCAGCTGGAAGGTACCAGGTGAACTTTAATATTAACCAGTTAGCAGCAAGTCTATTATAGGATAGAGCCCCCACGGAGCAGGTGCATTCCACGTAGGCCTTGGTGAGGGGACAGGCCTGGTGGGGAAGCTTGCAGCTGCTTGAGAGGAAGTTTGCTCAGGTCACCTGCTTGGGGGCAAGGACCCAAGTGCCTTGTGCCAAACTGATTTACTGAGTTAAATATTGTATTTCTAATTTTTCAGTTTATAAGTAATCACAAAGTAAGGAACACATTTTGGTTTCAGTTTCTGTTATGCTTTATTTCTGTGTCTTTGTTTTGTTAAGAATTTCTTCCTTCAGTCCAAAGAGGACTATACCTTGGATATGTTTGAATTCAGGTCTGTCTCTTATAGATGTTTCTCCCATTTTAGCAGAGATTCAGTTTTGCTGTGTCATTTCATCTGTAGAGACGCATGGCTTACAGTAATTTTCAAATACTGATTTTGAGCCCTGATGGAGATTTTCTGAAGTCTGCTTTCCTTTTTTTTTAATGGAACTTTTATCAGTTTCATATTTGCATCTCTGTCATTATTCAGTTACTAGCTTACATGTTTACCATTTTCTAACAGTTTTAGAGGTGAGTCTGATTTGTGCATATTATCCTCACTGGTGTTTATGTGTACGTAGTGCTTTCTTGTATGTCTTTTATTTGATCTATTTAAAGTTTCTGTTGGAAAAACAAAATCTATCTCCAAAAGTCTATATTCAAACGGGCTCCTATCCAAAGAAGTCTCCCATACTTCTTTCTGCTAACGCTATGCATGGTATATGTGGTCTGTCCTTGTTTTTCTTTCAAAAGGTAAGAAGTAAAAACACAGGTTCAGCCTATTTTCCAAATCCCTTCTTCTAGAAAGGACAACAATAATTAACATCTACTTCTTTATTCCATAAGTTATATAAGATGTACATAAGATCTCAGAAAAAACCTTGTGTTTCCTACCTGGGTAACAGTAACATAGAAACAGTTTTGTAAAAATCATGAAAAATTAAAACTATTTCTCAATAAAGCTACCAGCCTCCAATGGAGGATCCGTCTTCAGTTACCGCACTCTTTGACCTTGAGGCCATCTCTTTTATAAGAACCTTCTCTTCTGGCACATCTCCACTGTAGCTTTCATGGTCATTAAGGAGATTGCCATTTTCTTTGTGAGAATTTTATATACTACGGAAGCTTGATGCTTTTAACCAACCTGATAATTGTTTTCT